GTGTCGGCACCCACTAGGGTGTTTGCAGGTGAGCAGGCACCTGCTAGGGGGGCAGTGCAGTCCCAGGGCAGTGTCATCAGGGGGACACTCTCATCCAGCCCCAAGTCCCACCCTGGGCTCGGCTGGGGTGGGGCTTTGGGAATGCAGTCCTCCACCCCTCTTCCAATCCCCACCCCCCAGCTGCCAGCCCAAGGTCAGAGTTTGCCTCCTGGGCAGCTGAGGCCTGACTCACTTGTCACAGTGGAGTCCCTGCACCCTACCATCAACAGACACCAGGGTGGAGGGAGCATGATTAGAGTGATCCTATGGGTGGGGGCTAGGAAGGACAGTTGGACCGTCTCTAGCTTCCCAGCACTCCTAGCTGGGAGATAAGATTTCCTTCCTTTCAGCAATTGCCTCAAGTCCCTCCCCCGTGGGGAAAGCAGAAACTGAAATGGGAATTCTAGGGTCTCTGTGGGATCACAGGCTCCACAGTGACCTCACACACGCAAGGAGGAGGAGGAGTCGCAGATAAAGGAGTCAGGGATAATAGGAGGAAGAGCTCGCGGAGAAAAGAGTTGTGGGAGGTGGGAGATTTGCTTTTTTCCCACAGGCTGGCTGGGGGAAGAATGGAGAGAGTCAGCGGCCTTAGGGGGCGGGACTACAAGCAAAGGGAACAGAAACTTGGGGCTGTCAGGGGCAAACGCGTGGAAGCGGAGGCCTGGGGCTGCTCTTATCTTTGGTGGAACAGGGGAAGGAGTTGGAGACTAAGTGGAGAAAGAGAAAGGAGTCATTTGGGGGGGGGGTGGCTCGTGAGGGCTGCTTTATGGAACGATCAGAACTGAGGTTGAAGAGATCACGCAAATGAGCCAAGCAGGTGAGGGGCAGGAGCATTCTACAGGTGCGTAGATATGCAAATAAAGAGAAGCGGGGCGGGGTAGGGGGGCGCTCACGACGCTTGGCCAGAGATTCTTGAGTGTTCCGTGCAAACCAGAAAAGCGCTCATTGTCTAGTAGTTCTTAAAGTGGGGAGGGGGTGGTAGCAGACTTATGCAAATCAGCAGAATCTAGAACTCCGACGGCCAGGTAGGTGATGGGGCGGGCCAGACTCCCGGGCCCGGGAAGAAACAAGCGAGGGGCGGGGTTATGCAAATGAGGGTCCCGGCCGGGCTCGGAGCCGGGTGCACTCACCAGCCTGGGTGATGTCTGACAGGTCGTAGCTGCGGGCCGCGCCCCGGGGGAAGTGCTTCAAACGCCGGTTAGACAGGTTCAGGGTCCCGGTGGCCACGGCCTCCTCTAGGGCCCGCTCTGCACTGCGGCTCCCGGGCAGACCCGGAGACCCTGGAACGGAGGTCGTGGCCGCCGCCTCCTCACCCCCGGCGGCGAGAGGG